AAAATTCACAACGTGAAAATCGTATGAGTCAACGCAGTGACGGCAGCTGACATGTGGCTGCAGAAAAAGCCAAACGCTTCTCAGTAAGTGGATACATTTTCAGATATTTGTGCATACATATACACACGTATGTATGTATGTTTGTTAGTGAGTTGGCTTTTGTGACTTTGTCAATGTCAGCACCGGCTAATCTCAAAGGCATTTGAATATAGATGCGACAGCGGGAGGATGAGGAGAGCAAGGAGAGCGGCAGCCGCCGAAGACTGACGTAGAGGCTGTAGGTTGACAACGAAACTTCGGTGCGGCGAGCGCGCTGGCAACAATGACACTTACATACATGAGTACATATGTATGTCTGTATATAGGGGGGTTGATGCGTGGAAAAGTGGAAAATCTTGCGCAAAAACAACAACTCACGACAACACGCAGCAATTTTAGATTTTTCAACAACCCTTCAGCCACATTCACAGTAGGTATGTCTGCCTGCTTTTTTTTCACTTTACTTTGAGCGTGAAAATTAATAATTTTGTTTCTTTCGGAAAACTCAAGAGTCAATAGCGACCGTCCGACCCGCAACCACCACCACCACCACTATCAGAAGCAATAGCAGCAGCACCGACAAATAGCCTATCCGCCCATGAAAACCAACCCATCAGTCTGCGTCTGCTTTATTGATGCGGAAAATTTTATCAAAGGCGGCCGATACGAGTTTTCGCCTTTGTTGTTGAATCCTCAAAGGAATTTTCCGATACTCCTAATAGGAGCACAGCAAACGCCAGCAAGCGTGCTAATGTTGAGGAAAATTGTTTGCATGTGAAAATGTGCGCCTCAGTAGCTAGCCAGCTGTTTGGTTGGTTGGCTGGCTGGCTGGCTGACTGGTGGACTGGTGGACTGGCGGACTTAGTTGCTGTTCATAGATGCCTGCCGCCGGCTGCCTAGATGCCACAGCGAGCGAACGAGCGCGCGGAGGATGGCAGACTAGTTGACGTGCTTAAATCGCCAGCAATTTGTGCGGCGACGTGTAGTGGTGGGTTGGTTGGTCGAATCTCGATATGAACATTAATGTGCAAATGGATATGTACGTATGTGTGCACTTGTGTGAGCGGTGGAAAACGCGAAGCGTCCAACTGTGCTGCCTTAATGCCTTACTGAATGCTGAGAAAATGTGTGCTTCGCGGGGTGAGAGGTCCAACGGCAGACAAGTTGTCGGTACCAAAAAACTCACGTACATGCATATGTCGGCTCACTTGTACATTGGCAAGCTCCCTGATGCTTTTCACGAATTTCTTAATGTCCCAGGCTCAGGTTCGTTGATGATGGCGACAACTGGGAGGACGAGTAAGCGCGCAGAAATACACGAAATCCCACACAGCAAGCGCATATTTATACGTACATATGTATGTGTGTATGTACATACAGACAGAGTTCTTCATTCATACAGAGCAAATCTAATATTAAATCGAGACACACACAAACACACACCTGTCAACTAACATGCGCCAAATATAACCACTTCGCTCCGATCTATTTCGAGCCGAAATCAACCAGCTGTGGCACACAATTTGACTAGTTGGCCGGTTCGTTTGCCGGCTGGCTGGCTGGCTGGCTAACCGAGTCTTGCCGCAAATTGTCTTGTGGCTAATAGCAGCAACCAATTTATAATATCAACAACAACAATCAAGATTGACAACATTAGAAAGATTCATATAAGCCCCCAGCCGCAATTACAGCAGGCGAGGCGAGCAAGCAAGCAGCAGCGCACAATACTGGGCCACCAGCCAGCCACCAGCTACCAGCAGTTCAGCTAGAGCAGCAACCATCCGACCAACCAGCCAACCAACCAACTAACGGCTAACGGTGGCTCCACTAATGCGGCGAACAGCTAAACAACCAGTTAGTCGGTCGGTTAGCCATTTGAGGAGCATAGAAAAAGATTAGATGAGCGAAAAAAAGAAAAACGAACGAACGAACGAATGGCTTGCACTAAGATACACACACGCGGACGGGAAAATCTTTTCGCATCCGCACAACCTCACACCGTTTCGTGCAAAATTAACAAAATAGGAAAAATAACAAATTTTTGCAATGAGTGAGGAGCGTGGTGCCTCCAAGCGAGCATGTATTGCTGTTTTTCTTTTTTTTAAATGTTGTTGTTGTTTTTATTTTTTATGTTGCTCCATTAAACGCTACGATTTGGTTTCGGTGGCAAGCTCACTGCTCGCTACATAGATGTTGCACAAACAGACTCGGAGAGCCAACATTTGGCTTAGAGAAATATTAAGTTGTTCGACACAGTTGCGAGGAGTGAGTCAGTTCGCGCTGAAGCTTTGATTCATCTGAAGTAGAAACTTTGTTTACTATATTAGGAGGAACAACGCAGGAAATGAAGTTTTGTGTCCGAACAATATACACGGACGGAAAGTAGTACGAAATCCATCGATGAGTGAAAACAGACAACCCGAAATTCGAACTTGAAGAACATCTTCCCCAAGGTGAAAATATGTATGTAGATCTTGTTCATTGTCATACCAAGGTGGCGGACTAGCTGAGCTAGAGAACTGACAACTCGCCTAAGACGGTCTTTCATCAAGATCATCCTAAGTTCCAAACTCTCTCACTTTTACATTGCTAAAACCTTTTCGAGCAGAGGATAGAATTATTTCCTCTGTCATTGGATATGATATAAGTCAAACTTCACCTATTTACTTCGTACACGATAGTGGTCGTCCGCAATAGCCGAATTGTTTTTACTATCATCCGGATGATCTAGAGTCGAGACCTGGTTCGACCAACATAGAAAATAAAATAAAATTCATTTTTCTAATTGCGGTCGCTCCTCGGCGGGCAATTTCAAACCCTCCGGCAGTATTTCTGCCACGAAATAGAATCTCCTCCATTATTATTTGGAATATCATCAAGACACCAAGCACAAATTGGAGGGGAAGCTCAACCCAATTGGAGATAGGTCGTCTAAAGGATGACAGGCCTTGGCCGGATAAAACCCGCGATAGCTCCGATGAGTGAAACCTGCTGTCGTAGGAGTTGCATTTATGCTACGAGCTCAGGAGCATATCGCTATGTTGTGCAAGCAATATCTAGTGAGATACTTCCGGAGGTAAGCGATAGTCCGTGAACGGCGTTCTCGGGGTCTAACCACCGCCCAATTCAAACGGAGAGTTTGAGGTGCCTCGAAAGTTCTGCGTAATAATGACATAATTAAGATCTGGTAGCTTTAGTCGCCTATGTTCCTACTTATCCAAATTTGAGCCCTACCATACACAACCATGTCTCTCATGCAACAAGTTCCGATATTTGAATAACCACCCCTTTGCATGTCCCTTAAAACCCCCGTTCCCTCTTGTCGGACCCGTCGATACATATCGTTAGATGATCTCAGTGAATTAGACTGATCCTGCCTGCTCCCAAGAAGGGCTAGGCTTGCCATTATTCCAGCAAAAATGCATTGGCCTGTTTATTTCTATGTTAGTGGAAAAGTTAAAGCCATTAACCTGTCACAACTATACAACCCATACGCGTCGTATACATTGAATCCCGCGCACGACTCTAAGCAGTTCTTTACTTACTCCTATACCCAAAACCTCTTTCTTTTCTCTTAACAGATTTTTTCTTCCTTGTCGCCGTCGACTAACTTTGACTGTTCCCAAGCGGAGTTATCAAGCTATTATACAACGGTGGGAAACCTTCTAGTGTTAACTGTGGTCCATTTGCACTGTGAGGAACATAAGCCTGCAAATACATGGTACCATCAAGAAAAATAATAGTATGTTTTTTGAACTGAAGCGATCTACTCGACGAAACGGACTGAGTTCAGGAGTCCATCCTCCATCCATTTTGAATAAAGAGCTGCAAACCCGAATTGGACTCAAGGCATGCATGGCTGAAAAACTGTTTAAAATCCACTACTCCCCACAACAGTCGGGTCTTTCTACAGGAACGTACCTGATTTTTGTTTGGACCAGGGCTGTCAATGCCGCAGCATTTGTCAAAAACTAACAACAACTCCCAGTACTAATCACTTTACAGGACCCCTCAAGTCAACAGCAGCTAAGACCTTTCCCTCTGGTCCGAACTCAGCATTTCCTGGACTTCGAAGGCCCTTGATGATATTCAAATTATACATACTTGCACCTACTCGGGGCTCAGCTAGCTGATATGACAACGATAATTTTTAGGAGATTTAAAGTATGTATGTGCTTTATAATACAATCCCAACGAATACCGAAAGACTTAATTAACGGTAAAAAAATTATATGTATAACCCAAGCGTTTTCTTAGCCACACGAGCTTCCATTGCTGTTGCATGTTGGAATGTAGTAAGCAAGTTATAAATCATATACATGTGTAAGTATGCAACAAAAATTTATTATTGTATTTTGCGGAATGTGGTGTGACTGAAGATGAGTCCACGTAGTTGCAATAACGTGTGCAACAACAATTGCATGCTGCTTGAGTAGTGACCGGGTATCTAGGTGTTGTAGGAAGACAATGTGGCAAGGTCGTTGCTTGTGACTGTTCATAAATATGCACTTGCATATATATATATAATATATATATATAATGTGTATTTATTTTAACCGCAATGTATTTACAGCCACATTACGGCACTCACTGGTTGCATAAATTAAATGCCGCAAACCGTTAAAGAGTTTTTTTCGTATTACGGTAATTGTTTGAGATTAAAGTGCTTTGAATTCTTCGCATTTCTTAATGGCAGTTCAAATGACATAACGGTGGGTAAATAAACGAATTAATTTCCGCTAACAAATTCCAAGTTCAAATAAAAAATATTGCCATAAAATGTTTATGAAATTTTTAAATTAATTTTTTCTTATTTATTTCATAAAAATAAACAAAAAAAAATTTAATAGTTAAAATAAATATTAAAATAAATTAAAAAAAAATTAAAATAAAATAGAAAATCAAAATAAAAATAAAAATTTATATTTGTTTCCGCCCGGGATCGAACCGGGGGCCTTCCGCGTGTTAGGCGGATGTGATAACCACTACACCACGGAAACAGTTGCACACCATTCGTCTAAGTTACTACAATACTTTCAGTATGATTTTTGAACTTAAAGCTTTTGATTTGTCCAATAAAAGCACACATTTTTGTTACAAATCACAACTGTGTTAAGAAATTCACGAGCTTTGAATTTCACAAAGCTTATCCAATAAATTTATATAAACCAGAAATATAGAAATATTTAAATACAATTTTATATTTGCACTTCTTTAAACACCATTATATTTTCTCTGGTTTAAGCCAAAAGAACAGCAACACAAACTCATACATACATATTAAGGCAATTGGCGCTTGGCATCACCTATGCATAGGCGAATATGTGCCTATGTTAATTAATTAATTCCATTTCTACGTCCATATTGCTCCGTCCTGTTGCGAAAAAAGAAAACGAAAAACCCACGGAATGTAAGCTTTCAAATAGCAGCGCCAATATTCTTTCACCTCAAGAAAAAATTCCAAATTCGCTCATAGTAATTTTTCCAAACTTATTAATATCGTACTTGGCTTTAGCACAGGTAAATCCTGGAAATGCTATAAACTAATACAAAAAATATATACAATTTAATAATGCTTTCGCTAACCATTACCGTGGTGGAGACGTTTTAGAAGCAGCTATGCATAATGCTGCTAGACTTTCAATACGCGATCGGTGTCATCATTTATATTGCGCGAGGACACAACTCTCGCCGAAATGATTGTTTGTGCCATCAACTTAGATATGTTGAACTATGGCAGCTTGCAAGCAACTCATGGGTGTTTTTCTTCAAATCAAAGTAAATAAACATTTCAACAACTTTTATATAAGTTATATTTATAACATTTACCTTTAGCTGATTTAATCTTCTATTGTAATTGTTAGGTGGCGTTTCCACCGTCGCTTTGGCACGATTAACATTTTGGCAGCTTCATATTCGCACTCGCTTTGCAATACATTGCCTTCTTAATCTATTATGTGGAATATTTTCTTGAAGTTTTGCAATAATTAGTCAATCTAAAGAAGAAAATTGCTAAAATACCGAATATAAACAAACAATTAATTAAGAGCATTTGCTGATGACACAAATAGGAATGAGCGATATACGCAATTACTAATCGATATATTGGAAACTATAATCGCATAACTCTATGTTTGCACGTGTGAGATTTTTGAACAAAATGGTAATAAGCTTATAAACTTACTGTGCTAAATGATTTTGTGAATACTATTCGTTATATATAAATAAACCCATTTCAATATGTGATATGTTCATGAACAAATGCTTTCGATATTAAAAAACAAACGTTAAAAAATCTATTTCTATTTAAATTCTCGTAGTGAAGCGAAAACTTTCATTTTCATTAAGAAACTGTGTTTCTTTGCCAAATTTCATTGCTTTTTATGTTTTGTTTCGAATTTTCAAATTCTTTGTTTTACAGAGCCAAAAACATTTTGATTGTAATAAAGTGAAAATTTCGTTTCATTGCTCTCTTCATGTTCCAACACTTTTTTACAACACGAATTGAGATGAAATGATATTTTAACTCGCTGGTTCACGAGAATGAGTTAGAATTGCTTAGAGAATTTTTCATTTCATGGTTTGTTTATGCAAAAGTATTTAATTTCTTCACTATGCGTGACTCGTATTTCAATGTTTTTAAATTTAACTGAAAATGAGTAGGAATAACGAGTAAAATTTCCATTTATTGCTATTTTCACGTGAAAACATTTTAAATTCTTTCACTGTACGGGAAACGATAAGGTGAATGTTAAAAAAAATTAATATATAAAAATTAATAAACTAAACGAAAATAGAAATCAAAATAAAAAAAAATTATGTCTGTTTCCGCCCGGGATCGAACCGGGGGCCTTCCGCGTGTTAGGCGGATGTGATAACCACTACACCACGGAAACAGTTGAGCACATTATGTCAAGGTGACTACTTCTGCGTTGCCAACTAGTTCCAAACTAACGAACGCACATTTCGCACAGTCACACACATTCCTAAACATATATACACACATAAGTTGAATATAAGAAAACACTACACACAAGTCAAAACTAGCTGATAGCTGAAAATAAACTCCTATTTAAAATGAAATAATTAAAAAATCAATTAAAAAGAATTAATAATTTTTAAAAATTTTAAATTAATAATTTGTAAAAAAAACAATATTTTGAGATGTTCGAAGGAAAATAGGAAAAATATTTTTTTAAGTTTTTTTAAGAGAATTCCGACTACGGCGAATGAGAGTAACACAAAACTAGTTAGAAGTCTGAAAGCAATTATTATGCGTCCGAGAAATAGCTATATTTTTTAGGTCTACCGGAATGGCGAAATTCAAAAATGGCGAGCAGAAGGCGGAGAACTGAATGATCTATCCGGTCACCTCTGCATTGCAGGCGACTTCTTCAATTCGCTAAGCCTAACGTGGTCTTCCAACAGAGTCGTGGTCGTCCCCTTCATCGTCCCCATACACCTGTTTTGACTTTCTCCAAAGGCTCAATAAACCCGAGTCAGTGCTATTTGACAATTGCTGACATCATTGAGTGTTCATGACGGTATCAAGCTGCGTGGATACCTTGGCAATGTCGAAAATGCAACGCTATACTGTGGGATCCTAATCGTCGCACATCCTTGTTCGTAGACCACTTTACTTCGCTGCAGCAACAACTGGCTTGCAATGTCTAATGATATCCATATCATCGGCATATACGAGGTGCTGTACCCTTTAGAGAAAATAGTGTAATTTCGTGGTAAATTCATCGACCAACCACAGTACCCCTTCCACTAGGAACATGGAAAGGTTGCAAGATAAAGGGCCTGCTTGCCAAAAATCTCGAATGGTAATATGAAATAGGTCAAATACTTACATCGAAGCCTATAAGGATTTACAGCAAAAATTCTTAAAATTACCGAACATTGATGGTCCTAGCAGAATTGAAAGAAAATTCTTTAACGGAGGAGTAAGCTTCACTATTCAGTATGCCGGTCTGATTAATACAGAAATCTTGAAACTTTCTAGTTCTATGCAAAAGAGAAAGCTCACTGATTTTTATCAGCTAGACTTGTTCAGAGTTTTTAACGAATGCTTTTACGGAAGAAACTGCTTACGTTATACATATATAATATATCATAAAAAATTTGCAAAAAGTACCCAGTATGTGATAACGTTAGATTAAACTGGTTTATCCATCGAGTCTCACTTAGACGAAAGTCCATAGTCCATAGGGTTACCAGATACACTTCACACGATCAAGCTGTACTGCTATGCTGTTTGTTATGTCTTCTAGTTTGAAGACCATTATTGTTCTCTGTAAATTTAAGCAGTCGTTTGGGCACTTTACCAATCATCCAGTAATCCGGCCACTCTTTTTTTTACTAGTAAAAACTTTGTACGTTTAGAATTCTTTTGCTCGTTCCCAAAGTCTATTCGCCCAACGAAGCACAGGCTCTTCTTCACTTCCCTAAGTGAAATAGGTAAGTCCATAATTACGTTCTGTTCTGAAAGGGCACCCTCCTTAGCCAGGGTGGATACAGAGAGATTGTTGCTGAGGAAATCAGATGTGCGAAAGCGATGTTGCGATCCCAATAAGTGCGTTGGACATCCTATATTTTGATCCCTACTTGAATGAAGAGGTTTAGTCATAGAAATGCACACACTCCTCGATCAACGGAAAACTTGTTCTATTACGATATGCCGAACCTTCAACGCGTTCAATACTATAAAAAAGAGGCACTGTGCTAGGAGTTCCTTTTCCTTGGCAGTTCCCTGGAGAGAGTTATGTTGGTCTGAATACCTCTCTACCAGCGTCGCAGGTAAAATAATCTTAGGGTGATATGAGTACTCATGAGAGTTTCCTGTCCCCGTGGGCATTATTTGGAAAAATATTCCTATTTCGAAGATTTTGCAATCAGTGACCAGAGCAGACCATACCTTGTTAGGACGGAGCAAGCGGGAAAAGATTTGGATCTATTTGATAGCTGAAAAAGAGTGCAATGAATACACATTTTCATCGATAAAAAGATCTTCTTCGATTGGAAACAAAAAGTGAATCCAGGTGCCTCTCGAACTGAGTTTTTCTACACTCCGTCGTCTGCTTCCATTAGCGGATACTGCATCTTCCGTGACGACACGGAGTCGACATGCCTCGACAAAAAGATATTTTAAATGCATTCTTATTCTTCGGGCGGCCGCAATAGCGGAGTGTTTAGCATTCCATACCGTCATTCGGAAAGCAAGGGCTCGAGCTCTAGTTCGACCAACATCCAAAATTAATTTTTTCTAATTGAGGTCCTCTTAAAGTATTTCCAACATGAAATATGTATGTAAAAGCTACTCATAAAAATCGAGCGATCCATCGGAGGAGGCTTAGAATAAACTGTAGATCTCTCAAACGCAAATCAAAAATTGGAGGAGTTCGACCGAAAATCGTTGCAGCGATTATAAAGCGCCAATAACATACAAACGTATGTATATACATTCTTATCTACACCGAGGTATACTTTACAGCTGCACCAACATTATCCTTTGCCCTCCAAATGATTTACATGATACCCCGGAAGTTGATCCTATCACGTGCTGGCCATTAATGTTTGCCCGACATAAAACAAGCGACAATAAAAATCTAAAATGGTAAACATTCAAACCCTTTTTGAGGTCAACAAGCGCATGCATCCTGGCGACTATTAAAAATCCATCGCAGTACAGGATTTCTAGAGCTGAGGTGATTACTCGCTATAAGGTGACATACATACGTAAGTGTGGTGTGTGAGTAAACGCCACGAACCAGCTGTTCCCCTCTCTCTGCTCTCCTCTCCACTGCTTCCGCGTAGCATTGTATGCAGTTCAATTAGATACCAAAACCTGCATTTAAATTAATGGTGCGCTGGACCACAATGCCAGTGCTGAGTAATTGTATGACTGGCTAGGCGTTTTGTAGCCTTTCTGTGGCGCTGGGTAGTGAATGGAAAGGATACACGTACAGCCGCTACATACGCACATACATATCTACATATGTGTGTGGTTTTGTTAAGTGAACTAGCAGCTGCAACTGCTGACTTTTGCCACCACAGCCCTTTTTAAATGTTTGCTGACTGACACTTGGGTGTTGTTGTTTTTGATGTTGGTAGTACAACAAATCGGTCACCTTTCATATTGTTGTTGTTGTTGTTGTTGCGCACATGTATATATACATATGACAGCTGTTTGTTTGGTTTTGTTGACCTTCTCTGTGGCCTTTTGCCGCAAAGTATTAACTGGAGTCGTACTTTGACTCTTTCCTTGCATGTCCTGCATATCCTTGTGGCACAGCATATACAATTTTTGAGGAGTACATACATATGTATGTATGTGTGCAATACATATTCACACAGCCATTATTTAAACATGTCGCATGCGTTTTTTTTTTTATTTATCCTTGCTGTTATTGCTTGCATCCTATCCTTGCTGCCAATTGGATTCTCGCTTGTAATAGCAATGTTCGATTGCATTCCGGTGTCAGTCGAAAGTCAACCAAAAAACCACAAGCTGCTGACTGCTGTTGGCTCTACTGACTGCATCATTTCCTTTCGTCCTTTCGTCCTTCCTTCCTTATTCCCTCGCATCCTGTCAGCTTGCCGTGTGGCTGGTATGTGTTTTGTGCCAACAATTGAAGTGAAAGTCAAGCTATTCTCATACTGTATTTGTAATTATAATGGCAGCAATTTTCATGTTCTGTCCAAAATGTTTGTCCAAAACTTCCTGCAGGATATTATTGTATTTAAGTTAGTAGATGTGAACATGGAAAGAAATTGTCATACAAAAATGTCTTTAAACGTGTAATAAATTGTAAAATTGACAGCTTAATTGACACCTTTAAAAAATAAATAAATGATACAATGATTGGCAGTGAAATTATGTTCCGAGAAAAAGTTGTAGAAATTTTGCGTTGGGACATAATTATGATGGGAAATGAGAAAGGATAATTTGGGTGTAAATTTTGTATACTCAATATAATGAATATAGGGTGAATTGTATAGGAAAGCAATGCACGACAACTGGAAATTATATGTGCTCGGCCAACTCCATAAAAAAGGGACTCCACAGTCTGCGCCAATTACCGTGCGATAAGCCTCCTTAATACCGTCTATAAGGTCCTGTCGAGCGTATTGTGTGAAAGACTAAAACCCACCGTCAACAAACCGATTGGACCTTATCAGCGTGACTTTAGACCTG